TCAGTGCTCCTAAAAGATCACAGCTTCTCAGGGGATCTCAATCCATTCCATAATAGTTTAAAGGACAGCGACAGGAATCTGTTCTGTGTTTCAGGTATCTTGAAAGCCTGGTAAGAGATTTAATGCTGTGTGAATATCTTTTGATAGAATCATTAAGGTTGGAAAAGATCTCTAAGATCCACCTACTGCCAATATTGCTCACTAAACCATGACCTTAATACTGCATCTACCTTTCCTCAAACACCTCCAGGGATAGTGATTCCACCACCTCCTTGTGCAGGCTGTTTCAGTGCCTCGCCACTCTTTTGGAAAAGAAGTTTTTCTTAATATCCAGCCTCCCCTGGTGCAACTTGGAGCTATTCCCTCTTGTTCTATTGCTAATAATGTTAGAGAATAGGCTGACCCCCACCTTGCCACAACCTCCTCCTTTCAGATATTTCTAGAGGGCTCTGAGGTCTCTTCTGAGCCACCTCTTTTCCAGACTGAATGATCTCAGTTCCCTCAGCCTCTCCTCATAAATCTTGTGCTCCAGAACCTTCACCAGCTTTGTTGCCTTACACTATGATACTGAACCACTGAGTTTTCTGAGAATAAAGGAATTTGGATTTGTGCAGATTTTAATACTGTTAAGCAAAGGGTAAATAAGTACTTGGTGTTGGTGGCCTTGTCTTCAACAGTGCTAGAAAGCTGGACAAGATATGTTATAACCTGAAGTCCTTGGTGAAGCTTGCAGAGTGAAATACAGATTACATGGAGGAATTCAGGAGGTATCCAGGGAGAGAACTCTTACATTTCCCACTGGGTCTCATTGAGCTGTTTAAGTTATCCATTGCTCCTCAATAGTAGGAAAGAGAAGATCTAATAAATTTAATATGACCTTTTCCTTCAAGTTTTGGTGAAATCTGGATTTAAACTGAGGATTGGCATGCTGGTCGTTTAAGAAAAATTAGATTGATAGTAACATAGTGGTTATGCCTCTTTTTTGCCACTTGAGGTCATCCTTTCTTAGTTCTAAGTAGCCTGGAATGTAGTACTGAATGTTCATTGCAGGATTAGCATTGTAGAGATGGCCCCTGGAGTATAAATTGCTTATACAGTGCCGCTATTGTAATCTCACACTATGAAAAGTAAACAAGATGTGTTTATGCTTCTACTCCAATAGAGATAGCTGAAGCAGAGACATATGATCATATGGTTGCATCTTTGATTTATGGAAGAATATTGATATTTTATGAATAAAGTGGAAAGATGGAATATGAGACTATAATCTCTGTGAAGATATGTTTTGGACGTGAATGATAAAGTACAAATGCAGCAGAAGGGAAATATGTTAATCAAAAATATACTCTTTTAATTAAGCTTAAAGATACCACCTTTTTTGGCAGAAGTAATGACTGTTTATTGGAGTAGGCTTTAAAATCTCCCTTGTCATTTTATCTTTTATTACATTCAATTTTTAATTTAGCCTTAGGACCACTGAAGGGCAAAGTAAAAATGTGATCATACTGGGAGAACATCTATTCAGAGGATGGAGATTTTTAATTAAACTGCTCTTTTGATGAAAGAGTTTTGTGATTATAATAATGTCAGGGTACTTTGCTTTTTAAATATGACCTGAAGTAAGAGGGTAGGAAATGTGAAAACAGAAAGAAAAAGATGGCGTTGAGACTTACTGGAACTGCAAATATTCTTTAAGTTCAGATTATTGACTTCATTGTTAATTAAGAAGTCACTAGAAGTGTTACTTTTTAACGGTAAGTAAGTGCACTGAGACACTCAAAACAACATTAGGAAATGCTCTGGAAGTTTCTGATCTGATTACGGTGAGCAATGGAAGTTGTAGAGAGTGAAAAATGTTGCTATGGTATTAATATATTCCTGATTGGTGATTAAGGAATATACATTTATTCAGATGCCATATTTTCATATGAGATCCTAATGAAATGGTGAGTACATCTCTGGGGAAGAAGTAGTCATGGAAATGAACAGAGGATGGATGGGTAGGTGGAATGGAAACATCAGCAGTGGAATTTGGGGAAGTAAGGAGCAGAAGGTTTCTGAGCTGCTTATAGGAACAGAAAATTGAACACAAATGAAGTTCCATAATATGGAGCACAATTTTCTACAGAGAAAAAGATGTAATACCTGCAGCTGGATATCCAAGATAGCACCTGGCTGTACGAAACCTGGGGGCAGTCAATGCGATTCTTTTTCTTTTCTTTCTCCCGAATATGGGCAGATTTTACTGAAAGAAATTGACCCTGTGGCATTTTTTTCCTAAGAAATTGCCTAATTCATTTACAGTTACCTGCTGAGGAATTGCAGGAGGAGATGCAGGTGTTCCTCTGGGCCCTTTTGGAAGATACTGAAATGAACTATTTGGGTTGTTTTAGAGCTTGTGCCAGAAGAAGCAGAAGAATCTAACTGGCAGGAACATTTCCCATCATAGGGTAGAAGGAAAAACAGTTTTGCAGTGCATCTGTCCTGTTCATTAAACCCTGAGCTTTTTAAAGTGACCTGCTGTGTAACACTGGAGAGCACCTACAGCAGTTCATAAGGAAGGGACGCCTTTCTGTAAAGGTTCTCTGTGTTAAGGATGTGAATGTGCTACGCAGGAGGGCAGAATGGTGTGGTAACACCAGACTGAATGGTTTGGGAAAGATCTTCAGATGACTAGTGCCTGTTTCTGCCCTGTCTAGCAGATTGTTCTTTGTGTTGGAGAAAGGAGTTAAAACACGCAGAAACCCACCAACAAAGCTCCAGTACAGGACTTTTCTCTCCTAGAGTGACAAACCTAGGCTATAGGAAGCTCTCTTATTGTAGCAGCTAACCACTGAGGAACTGCAAACTGATCAACTGACTCTTGTCTGGTCCTCTTCACAGCCCACTTGTTCCTGTGTATTATGAAGTTCCAAAATTGTGCAGCAATCAGTACTAACTTGGAAAATAGGAGGGGAGTATTTCATAGCTGTTTTGTTCTAACTCAGTGCAGAAACTTTGTCCTGCCACATAAACAGTGATCCAAGTTAAGCTTATAATCGTGTTCTTATTGTTTTGTGCCTCTCAGTAGCACCCTTCTCACACTGAAAAGCTGAGTCTGCTAGGAATAGATTGGCTAAGCTGTCTGCAGCCATATCTAAGTCATGTAAAGCTGTTCATTTGAAGTAATGGCAGTCATTTTATCGCCCACAGTGATCTTAGGGCTGGCAGAAAGCTCGCATCACATCAGCCCGTATTTTCTTGTGTGAAGAAAAATTTGAATTTAAAGCGATATTATAAAATGATAGTGGCTTCTTACAGTATACCATGCTACATGTTCATTTGTACAAGTGTTATGTCAAGGAAGTGTGCAAATGTTTTTCTCCTCTTGAAAGTTGGAGGCAAAGCAGAAGATGGGGAATTAGGAGTATGAATATAATCCACGTGAAGGCAGAAATGTGCCTGTAAGATAGGCCAGGAAACTATAGTATGTAGGAAAAGCCTTCTCACATCAATTCCCTGCCTGGCTGGCCCTGTCCAATATTTGTAGAGCACTGAACCTGGCCCTGTGTGTGTGCCCTAGATATGATCTAGTATTTCTTCCTAATGACAATACTGAGAAAGTTAAACTTCTGCATTAGAACAGTTTGCATGGGCTGTGTGCACTGATCCACTGAGCTTTGCAGGAGAGGTGGGGGAGGGAAAAAGCCCCATTCTTAAATGTCTTCACAAACGGCCAGAAAACTTTAGAAATGGAATCTGTAGGCCTCGTGACTCTGGTTGCTGAGCATTGCTGAGGCTATAAAGTACTGTAGCTAGGGAGCAGAAATGCCATGGGTTTCCAAAACTTGTGCAGCAGTGGGCCGTTATTAGACCATTTAAGGCAGTTTGTAATCTGTGGGTGTTCTTTCTTTCTTTTAATAAAAACCACCTTTATATTAAAAGCAAATGAAAGATCTAGCTAATGAACTATAATTTATAACATTGTTCTATGTGGATAATCGAATGCATGGTATGGTTTAAAAAACTATGCTGTTTCCTGTGGGCTTTTGTTTTCCTATGAACTTTTGCCTTTCCTGAGCTCTACTCTGAATGAAACTAATGAAGTGGAACAGGGGAGTAATGATGACAACTTTGGAATGCTTTTAAGTTTACACCCACACACTCTCATGCTTCTGATTGCTGGTTTAAGATTCTTTCTCCAAAGAAGGCTTATGCAGAAAATGTTATTAGAAAATGTTAAATAAATTAAGCATTTATTGCTCAATATTGAGTAAAAAGTTTTTTTTCTCTCCTTGTAAATAACAGAATTCAAGAACAAACCAAACATCTGTTAACTACTCAGGCATTGCCACAGGACTCATAATCCATATGAAGGATTATATTTCTGTGTAGTAAGAATAACAAATAGCAAATGCCATCTGTAAAAGTTGATAGGCTGGGATAATTGTTTTTTTGTTATCAGTTCTCATAAAGGCAGTTGGTATCCTCTTCAAAGACACAAACACAGCCTTGAGGTATACAGCCCATTCGTGTAAACTGCTTGATGCTTTTTTTTCCCCCCTTTCTGCTTTGGTTATCCCCATTGTTACAGCAGCAAGAGGCAGAATGTTGCAGCAGCTATCAGCGTTGGGCCATGCCCCGTACTGCCTTGACTGTACGCTAGCATCGAAAGAGGTGCAGGTATCAGTGTGGGGATCCCTAAGCAAACATCCAGATGGGCGTCCAATATACTTTCCATTAGATTAAGAAGCTGATCCTGAATAATCACTTAACCAAGCAGAAAGCTGAATAGCAACTTGGGACGCTTCAAAACCTATCGTTAGTTCATGAAGTATGGCTTCTCGTGCTTTTGTCCTTGCAGGTAGTAGGTGCCCTGCTGGTTTATTTCACATGGTCTTGGTTAGATTTCTGAAACTTGTGTAAACTTCAATTGCAAGATAAGTTTCCTAAATATGTTTTTAACTTGAGTTCCAGAATGAATATTGTACTCCATTAAAAAAAAAAAAAAAGACAAAGTCTTGTTTTCCCAGTCACCTTTATTTCACTAGAAAAGTATAAATTACTATAAATACAGGTATCACCAGTATAAAAATTAGATTGTCATCTATAAAATAAATATTAAAACAGTCATAGCAAAAGGTACCTCTGAATCCCACCACCAAGATTATTTGAATCTATAGTACATAAGCTATTGATTTACCATTTATTTTGAATAAAGTTCAAAATGCAGTAACTACTGCTACTTACTCAGTGTTTGCCTGAAGTGAGTTACTAGTCCCTCAAACTGTGAAGTGTTTACCCTAACACTTACTTGGAACCAACAGGCTACCATGTCTGTGGAACTGTAGGTGTAGTGTAATCCAGATATGCTTCCCATATGGTTAGCAGCTATCTAGTGCAAGAGCATTAATTAGTGGTCACCAATACACTTAATTTGTTTGCTTAGCACTGATTGGGTACACCCAAAGATAAACAAACCAAGATAGTTTTATCCAAGAAGTGCAGAAATAGCTTCTTCGTACCATCTGAACTAACAGATCATTTCACCAGTTAATAATATTGTAAGAAAGTCAGGTAAGTAGAGGTTTTGTTTCATAGAAACAGAACAACGGTCCTTTTCATTAGCAAAGGACATATTTTTCAAATGCAGTGTTTCTTCCCCTTACGAGTACCGTAAGACTTCTGGCTCAGTAAATCTTATACTTTCGGAGTGCTTGGTCTAATCAGAGATTCATTTGATTCTAGCTGAGAAAAATGTGTGAGTAGGGTAATCATCTTGTCATCGGTCACCACAATATTCTTCCAGCCTCAGACACTGGAGACAGGACCTTCCTGGTATCTGTGGCTTTGTTCTTTTTTAGTCTGTCACTGTCTAATGGATCTTTGAGTCCACCAAAGGTTTTAGCTTCAAATTTCCTGTACCAGAGAGGCTAAAGGCTCCATCTTTTTTTCTGCCTTTGTATCTTCCACGAGTATCCACAATAGTTTTTCCTTAGACACCGTTCAGTGGTTCTTTTTCTCGTGCAGTTTTTGCTTTCTTGCGTTTGCACAGGATCACTGCTAGGATAACGGCGAGAGCAATGACTGCAATTGCCACCACTGCTATGATGATAAAGACTTCTGCTCCGTATTCTGTAGAGTTGGGGAAAAAAATCCAAGGTTCAGTTATCAGAGATGACGTCACACTGCTATAAATTCTCACACTGAACTAAAAAATGTTTTCTGTATTTCGTGGTACCATGGAAGTAGAATGATTATCCCAATGTGCACTGAATTTGTTCTAAAATGAATTTTTTGAACTGAGGTAAAGCTTTATTTCATGTGGTTCACAGTAGGTTTTAATCTAGATAGAACAACAAAATACCAAGTATAGGTCAAATCATTCCTCCAGTCTCTGCATTATCTTTGTGAAACTAAGCCCATGTGGGTATTTTTTTTCTAGGTTAAAAGCTAGAAAGTACCAATAAAAAAGATCCTTATTTAAATTGTAACATAGAATTTAACTATTTTGATATATGAAAGTGTATACTCTAGATAATAAAGTTAATTAGAAAGCAAACTTCGTAAGAGGTTTTCTACTTAATGTCCTAGTTGCTTCATCTAATGGAGAGGAAACAAGCAAGATAGTACTGTGATATTATTTAATAAATATTCAAGACTTTATACTAAAAAAAGTGTTATTTAGGCTGGAATAAAACTGGCTGATTCACAGTCTGCTCACATATTTAAGAGAAGTCAGTCTGTCAGATAATATGGCAGTGTAACACTAAAGAAAGTCTTAGTTTCATCATCTGCTTTTGAGATAATACATTTCAGTTCAAACTACAAATCAGTGGAAATGCTTGTCAGTCAGATTTCCAGCACTCCTATGCTTCAGAGATAATCAACCACTTGCACTTGCTATGGGATCATTTGTATGGGAGGATCTGAGGGAAACAGTGAGGGGAAAAAAACCCAACCACACAAAAAGCCAAACAACAAAAAAAACCAAAGCCAAAATGTAATGCTGAGACCTGAAACCCTCGTGACCAGGCAACAGCTCAGACAATTTAAAACTGAATCAAGCAGTTTAGCAAAACCCTACAGCCAATTCCAGCTAGCTAAAGAAGTAGCTACGTAAGTTCATTTCTTAACTTAGGTGTCACACTTTATAGAGTTATAAAATATATTCAAAATTGAAGTGTCTTTCTGTTGGAATGCAGAAGGCAGAACAACACTCTTCAATAGATACATACCATCTAAAGCAGTTCTTTCTACAGTGGTACAAAGCACCATGCTTTCTTGACCGTTACGATTTTCTCTGCGAGAGGGAATGATTCCCTGTACGTAGAAGCAATAGTTATTTTTGTTGTCAACACTTACATCAAACGTATGGCTTTTTGTTGCTGCATCTTTCTGTAAAGAAAAAAACATTTCTCATTTCAGGTCCTCTGCGAAAATGGCCGTGCTTTCAAGGTAGCAGAAAAATTGTATAGCTGTTATATATCTACAGGATATGTAGAAAAGCAGAGTAAAGCCTTACCTTTCCAGAACTTTGATCTTTCCAGTAATAGAGTTTGTATTCCAGGTCATGTTTGAAAATATCTCGAACACTTTGAAAGCTTCCATTAGGAAACATATATGGTGTAAGTGGATCTTGAAACACAACGTTCAGTTTGGAATCTTCTTGTGTGTGGTTTTGGATCTTTGGTTTCCCAATAATAGCTAAAAAAGCATTTTTTGAATTAAAACACTGGCATCACCTTTTTTCCCCACTCTTGGCTATTCTGTACTTCTACCATTTTCTACGTAACATGCCCTTTTCCTCGCTTTACTCCCTTCCCTTCTCAAACAGAAGAGTTTACTCAGCCAAGGCAGCACAGGATTATTAACAAGTGTCTGTATCAATACACAATGTTAATAAAGTGGTGTACAATGCAGTAAGAAACAAGTAGTGACTAAAATCTTACACACTGCTCTGCAATAAGGAGAGCAAGCTTTATGCCTGAATGTCACCTTCTAAGATATCCATAGAATCTACAGGAGAAAGCGATAGGCCAAATCCAAACCTTGTTTAAGTCAATGGAAATCATCTTGAAAGGAAGCTAATGAAAAGATTTAATTGGGAATTCTACTTACTCTGATTATAAGGTGTGAATTTTTCAGAGCTCGCAAAAAGTGGTTCTTCAAAGTTATCCTCCACCAAGGATTTTACAGATAATACATGTGCTGTATAGGTCTCCTTCACATTCCGCAGTGCATCAGTAACATCACACTCTGTTTCTATAGTCATTATGCATTTTTTTTTGGTATCAGATGTCTCCCTGAAAAGAGTAAGAAAGAAGCGTCAACACTTCCCAAGAAGACTCTCTCAAGCTATTTATACATGTTAAAAACACTTTTTCCATTCAAATTGTACAGACTTCCCTCAGTCAGTGGAATGGCCTTGCAGTATAGTAGGCTGGGAAGCAGAAGGGAAAAAAAAACCCACAAAAACAAACCACAGTTCTGCATAGGTATATTTCACAACACATTGTAGAAACAAGTGAAAAAAAAACATGAGCCACAGTAATTATGGAAAATGCCTTTTGAGGTTTTCCTTCAGTTGATTTATGAAAACAAAACAAAAAAAGAACAGGTATAGAAAACACATTGAAAATGTTATCCCTGTTCACAGATGTGTCTAAACATCATTGCCTAAAAAACGAGTTGTCCTGGGAAGATCTGCTGCCATGTACAGTAATTGCTTAATGTAACAGTGCCTGCTCATTTGTGTCCCTTGTGTTTGCATTTATGCAGGCACAAATGTCACTAAGAACAAAACATTAGCAGCAATTTTATTTGCAGTACTACGTTACAGAAGCAAGAAAAAATATTGTAAGAAACACTGTCTCTATGAATTTCTCTCTATTCTAAAGAATAGAGGATTTACTTGAGAAATAATGAATAAGCCATAAGGAAAAAAAGTTTTAATGGCTGCTTTGCATCCTAATAATGCTTTGAAAAAGGACAAAAGAGATCTGATCTTGGTGATCAAACAAATGTACATGAAAGAGAAAGAAAACATTTTAGTGCAAGTCGTCTATAGGAACATCTTGTCTGAAGAAGTTCCTCCATATCAGAACTATACCTGATTCTAATGCTAAACCTTGGGCAAACAGACTTCAATATTTCGTAAGCAAAATAAACTCCAGATTCATAAAACATTTCAACTTGCACGGTGCTAGATAAGGTTCTGTGTCCCGCACTTGTCTCTTTGTAAGACTGAACTCTTAAGCTAGGTTGTGCTACTCTGCTAACAGCGTGCTTTAAAGTCTATTCATTTAATTGCTCCCTTAGCCTAAAGAATAAAAGAGCACATTAGACCATCACGTTGGTATTTCATCCATTAGTCATGAGACTGCTCTCATTTCTAGGCAACTTTTATACACAGAAGAGACTACAGCACCACATCTTCATTACAAGTGGAAGAGTTGATGATGAAGACTCCCTTCAGGGTATGTTCATTAATGATCTATGAATTAATACGAGAGCTAAGAATGGCACAGATTTATGGCTGAACTTCACTGAAGTTTCTGTGCAGCACAGGTTTCAGACACTTCACACAGGCTAATCGTTTTTATGGCTGTAGTATTTCATAGTTTCTATAAAACATGATGACAGAGGAAGTCTTGACAGAGCTAGATGAACAAAGGTAATTTTCAGAATTACCAAGCAAGACTAAACATACATTATGGTGAATCACTGACTAGAAAATTCACATTTATCAGACACCTCCTGAGACTAAAGAACAAAGACTGAGTTCAGACATAAAAAGGTGAATGTGTCTAATATATGGCACGTCAGATCAGACGTCAGCTTCTTCCAGTACGCTGGCACACGTCTCTAGTATAGCTGGAACCACACCTCACCCCAGAACTGAAATACCAATCTAAAGCTCAGTTTCCCATTTCCGAAGTGGGCAAAGCCAGAAACCTGAAGCAGGTATTGCTACGGTCAGACATAAAGAAGTGTTAGCAGTTGGTTTGTCAATTTCCTTAGAAGTGAGCTCTTTTCATGATAAATTCTGTCTCAGAAATAATCAAACACTCCAGACACATCTCCCTCAACTGCCATTGATGTACACACCTCCATGTCACTTACCCATGTATTTCCACGGTGTAGAAGTAACCCGATGGTTTTGGTTGCCATTTTAGTATGGTTTTAAAATTGACTGAAGACCAAGTTATATTAACTGCTGTTGGTAGTTCTGGGTTGCCTTTAAAAAGAGAAAAGAGTGCCATTAGCCACGTTACACGTAACTGCTGGCTGCCTGCACTCACTGTTTAGGTAAAGGCAGCATTGCTGCTAATCACTACTTAGGGGAGTTATTTCAGGCGGAGAGGCCCAGTCCTGCCCTTTGGGCTCATGCTGTCTCACCGAAGGAATGTGCCCTGGCAGAAGTGAGAAATACGAGAAGAAAATTATTTTCTTTCACTGTTGTTCTAACTCCGAGCTTGCTGAGGTAACTCCAGATGAGTCCTCACTTTAGTTTGCGATCCAACACCCCTTAAGAACTTAGAGAATCTTGAAGACCCTTATGAGAATGTCCAAACCCCAAACAGAAGACCCTCACGTGAGAGTGTCCGAACCCCAAACAACAGCAGTGCGGTTCACAGTCCCTCGCTGTCTCTAATGCAGAAGGCATCAATCTCGGTTCCCCTTCGATTTATTTTGGGAAGACAAACTACTCAAACTATTCAGAACCCTGTGCTGCCTTGAGCACGTACATCTGGGGGCCTGCCCGGGCCGAGGGGACACTTCGGGGAACTGCCCCAGAGGAAAGCGCGGTGGAAAACCCCGCACGGCGGGGCGAGTCGCGACCCCCGCGACCTCAGGGAAGCCAGCGCTGCGCTAATCCATACCCCGTTGCTTCCTAAATGTGGCCTCCTTTGCCGCTCCGATTAGCTCAGACCTGGCGACAAGGGAAACGAATCTCGCCTCTCGCTCCCGGTGCCGCCGGGAAGCCCCGCAGCTCCCCGGCTGCGGACATCAGGACGCCCGTGGAAACAAACCGCCCGAGGCGCACGAGCGCTCCGCCAGCTGCGCTGAACGACGGGACCGCCGCTGCCCCCCGCCCCAACGGCCACGCGCGAAGTTTCTGGCGGAAGGCAAAGGCCGCCGCGCGTGGCCGCGGTCCCTCGGGGCCGCCCTGTCACGGGAGCTGAGCCCGCGCGCACCCCCCCACCTCGGCCCGCCGCTCCCCTCCCGCCATCACCCACCGGCGGCGGCTGCCAGGCGGCACAGCAGCGCGCTCAGCAGCACGGCTCGCGCTCCGGCGGGGGCACGCGGCATCCTCGGGAAGCGGCTCGGCGACGTCGCGACGGGGATAAGCGCGGTGAGCTGCGGCCGGGACGGTCCTTATGTCTGGGAAAGAGGCGGAGACTCCGCGGGCGGTGCGAGCGGCGGAGCCGGGTCCCGCGCGGGGTCAGGGAGGACGGGAGAGGGGCTGTCCTTCAGCGTTCCGGCATCGCAAGGTTGCGCAAGGCGGGACGGGGGTCTGCGAAGGGACGGCCCGCCGCGGGAAGGGGCCCGAGAGAAGGGGCGGCTTCGTGCCCAGAGGCACCTGGCGCCGTGCTGCTGCGCGTCCCCGTGCGCCAAGCCCGGCTCCCGTCCGGCCGCACGGTGGGATGCTGGTGGGGCCGGGCGGTGCTCCCGCCGAGCTGGGCCGGCTGGCTCAGGTCTGCACCTTCTGCAGCGCCAAACGTCTGGCCGGCCTCCGCTCAGCACACAGAACACAACTGTTGGGCTCGCTCCTGTCAGGATAGACAAAAAATAACCCCCCCCAAAAAGCCCCAGACACTGGGGATTTGTACCTCAGCTTTCCTGTAAACCAGACACCAGATGGACGCTTTTCCTACAAAGCTGTTGGGAAGATATGTCATTTTCACAGGTAGGAAGGTATCTTGGACAGGTTTGCTGAATGCTTCGTCAGTGCCGCAGGCTCTGTGCCCCCAGCGTGGCCCGTACTCATTGATCGCCGCAGTGCTGCTTCGCCAGGCGATCAACCCAAGTTTTGGGGCCTGGGGTCTGCTTTCATCTAATGCTCGAGCTGTAGAGGGAGCTGTGTTCGCATTCAGCTCGGGATACTTCTGCTGGGAAACAGGCGGTGTGAGAGAACCTTGTACGGATATAAAGGGGATAGGTGCATTTTGCAGTGTTATGCTGACATTCCTTTTTGAACTGATGATGGTTTTTACAAGGTCTTACACTTGGAAAATATGTGTAGGAGAAGACTAATAGGGAAGTTGCATATTTAATTGCCTTTAATTTTCCTGCTTGGTGTACACTTAGATGCAAGCAATCAGTTATTTTTCATAATGTAAAATAAACACATATGGATCCAGATACAGTGGCAATTTCAACCAAAATCTCCATCATATCGAGTGTTTCAAGGTGTGCCCGAATCCTGGATTTTTTAAATTATCAGCATGTCTTCACTGAATCCCTTCTGATTTTCCTGCCTTGTTTTTATCAAGTTTCAGCACTGTCTCCTTGCAGCTGTATGTCAACATTACCTCAGCGAAAAAGCATGCTTTCAGCTTTGTGCAGAATCCTGATCTTGTGTGACTAGAATTTCAAGGATGTCACCTGGTAAAATCACAGCTGATTTCCAAAGGACATTACAAAGAGTTATAGGACCTATTTATCTAAAAAATGAAAAAAGTGTTTTCTACCAAACCTTAAATCACTTTTAAGCTCTGTTTCCAGTCAGATGTCCTTGCATTTCAGTTACAAAAGAGGGGAAGTGGGCCAGCTGTGATATGGAGATAATCTCAACATCCCATCTTTGCTCCCATTTCCTCTGTCATGACTCTTGTACCAGAGAGAGGTGAGGAACCTTCCAGGCTGTCTGGAATAACCACCTTGACCAGTGTTACCTTATTCCAGCAGCATTTCCAGCTGCTCAGCAATGCGAGGCTTTTAGCTGCGCTGTTGAGTGCTGTGACATGAGGGAAGGAGGTGGCCATTTGCAGCAGGCCCAAACAGAAGAGTGTATGTGGATCAGCAGGGGTGATGGGCTAACTTTGCCAAGCTAGCTGTGCTGAGGGAAGGAAGTTGAAGGGAAAATTTGATAGCTGGGTGTGGGGGAGCAGTGTGGCTAGGTGATGTTCATGAGAGAAGGGGATGACAGATATGGGAGAAGCACTGAGGCGGAGAAAAGCTGCTGCTGCTGCTGCCTCTGCTCTTCTTTCTCCCATCAAGCCACGAAGCAGATCTGACTGAAGGATAAGAACGGCTGTGCTGCCCAACTCCAGGAGCCAAACTGGGAAGCGAGAGGAAGCTGGTGCTGCCTGACAGGGCTGGTGTCACTGGGCTCCCAGGCTGCTGTGCGGTTGGCCACTGGTTGGTGGCACTCTGGGTCATATTTCCTGGTCACATGAACAGTATTTCAACAGCATGTTTAAGACATAAAATTCCCCACTTACTTTGACAATATGTTGCTACATGCAGGCAAGCATTATGCTGACTTAGTTCTCTGGAAATTTCCCTCAGCATTTAGGATTTGGCTCCCATATCGGAATGTCAAAATGTAATCATCTACTGTGTGTATCTCTGTCCTCTATAAGAGGATGATATAGTCATCCTCTGCTCGTCTTACAATTAGCAGAGAAAAATATCTCCCCTAAAGTGAAATCCATATTTTCCTAGTGCAGACATCTAACGGAAGTCAGATGAATCCATTAAATATTGAAAAAAATGATTGGATAATGGCAGGATCTCAGTGTGACTTTATTGAATGTGCGGGAATCATGCAATAGCAAGAGACTGGCTCCCTCAGCGTAGGGAGATGACTGTTTCCACTCTGTGTCCCTCTGGTGAGCTTAGTGGAATTCATTATTGGGAAAGTTTGCCAGATTAGGAACAGACCTTGCAGATTTTCATTCTTTGATATCATGGAAGCAAACCACACATTGATTATAGGAAAGTTGAGAAGAAAAGGGGAACTAAGTCTATGAAACTCCTGGTTTTGGGAAAGACATGTATGTATTTAAATCTGTAATATCATGTACTAGATCTCCAAACTGGTTAGCTTTAGAGATAGCTAATACCTTATTGCTTAGCAAAGCAAGTTCAGCATCATATGTTTTCTGTACTATCATAAATCATTTGCTTTACATGACATCCATAACAGATCAGTTTCCCTATGCTGATAGTTTCCCAACATTCTAAATAATGTTTTGTAATACTTACTAATGTTTTGAAATTTTGTAGTGCTACAGAACATTCATCATTCCATGCTGACATAAAAGTTAGCAATGTTGGCATGCCCAACAGTGAAAAATTCACCTATGTAAGATTCAGAATCCCTCAGAGCTTTTTCCAAATTGGAATTGCTCCTAATAATTGTTCCTTTTGGTTGACTTTTAAGGCCTTTCTTTAACGTGTCTCAGTGACTCAAATTACCGGGTAATGAATTTACATAAGCAATTAATTATATTTAATTAGATAAAACAGAAGCTTAGGTAGAAATCTCCGATATGGTATTTCTTCTGCAAGTATCTTAATGTTCGTCCCGCAGAGCTGTTCTATCAAATACAGTACTAGAAAGGCATACACAGCACAGTTCTTTGTTCTTTCAATCTTTTCCAATTCCAATCAAGATTCTAAAGAGCAAAGACCATTCAAAATCTTGAAATGACAGTAAGTTTACATCAACATTTTCTGCCTGTGCATGTCAGTGTCTCAAACTTATCAATAACTTAGATTATTTTATTATTGTGGGTTGCTTTACAACTATTTTGTACATAGGGAGGAAACTGTATTTACCCAACTTTTCTCTGGGTATGCTGAAAGTCTGTGGTGAAGTCAGGAACGTACGATATCATGACTTTATACCATTTTCTGTTTTGTGACATTATCACAGGATTATGTTTTCCTTTTTTTTCAAGCAAAGAAAAATTCATCTCTATTAGAAGTCTCCAGTGAAGATAAAGGAAACACAGAAAATTGAATTCAATCTTTAGATACTTCACATACGTCTGTAAGTTGAGTATCTGATCTGTGAGAATGTTCTGCACCAAGCTGTGGGGTGATTACACTGCTGAACATCAAGCCAAAAAAAGTAAGGAGACTACAAACACATCACAGATTTAGAGTTTATATAAAAATGGCTATACTGACAAAATTTGTATTACCTCTCTTGCAACCAGGAGGATTTATATAACACAGTAGGTTTTGGTATCAAGACTCATTTTTGATGTACAGAAAATGAATTAGCGTGATTTTTCTGATGCCTGTGGTAATCAGAGTCATTAGATTAGTAGAATGGAATGGAGAAACAACTTGTATTCTTAAGAGCAGTGTTGTTTATACATAGAGAGCTGTTTATTCCTGAACTCTCCACACCAATGAAATTCCCAGTAACTTTCTTGTTTATCTCTGGCTTTGTTATTACCTAAACTATGATAAATTATTTTGTGATTCTAAAACTGGTTTGAGATTTTATTAAATCACACGTAGCAACAGAAAATAACAAAGCTACACTGAGATAGAACTAATTTAAAATTTAAATCCAAATCTTGCAACCAGTTCCTCATCCATCAAACAGATCACTTATCAAATCCGTATCCTTCCAATCTGGAGAGAAGAATGTTAGGAGGGGCCGTGTCAAAGGCCTGACTGATGCCCAGATCGATGACATCGCTGTCTCTTCCCCGTCCACTGATGCACTTACACCATCGTAGAAGGCCCCTAGGTTGGTTGCTTATCACAGAAGGCCACTCAGTGATCTTCAGAAGTCCCTTCCAAACCCTGAGATTCTGTGGTTCACTGTGTGATTCTGAAATGGTTTCTTCACTCCCAAATCTGCTTATGTGTATCTCACCTACAAAGAGCGTGGGCATTGCTATTATCAGTCAGCTTCTTAGCTGTCCGCTACATCATAGGTCTGCTCTAGAGGCAAATTCTGAAGTGGTTTTCTTGAAAATCTTTACACTGGTCTTTCCAGACATAATCATTGTATTTGAAAGTCATAAACAGTTTTAATTCAGCCAGTTTGAGAACACGATTACAGCATAAACATGAGAACTGAGGCGTCAATCACATTCCTATGTGTGGAGCAATCCTGTAAGTGGCCAGCGTCCAAATGCATTCCTTCACCATATCAGAGGAATTAGTAAAGCAGGGGTGAGGTGAAACTTCCAGTAACCTGCATTTAGCTAGAAAGTCGCCCTGGTTCATAGTGAAGTGCTGAACCTCCAAACCCAAAGGTCTCCAAGAATTTAAAACAACTGAATCTTTGCATGTTTTTAATGTACCAGCAGTCAAGTTTGGGTCTCTTGTGGAGCCTG